TGAAAAGCAGAGATATCACTTTGCTGACAGAGGTCCGTATAGTCAAAACTGTGGTTTTTCTAGTAGTCACGTATGGATGTGAGAGTTGGACCATAACAAGGCCGAAGAATTGATGCTTTTGAACTGTGGTGCTGGAGAAGACTCTTGAGAGTCCCTTGGATGGCAGAGAGGTCAAACCAGTCAGTCCTAAAGGAAATCAACCCTGAATATCATTGGAAGAACTGATGCTGAAGCCCCAGTATTTTGGCCACCTGATGCAAAGAGCCGGCTCACTGGAAAAGCCCCTGATGCTGGGAAAGATTGAAGGCAGGACGAGAAGCGGGCAACAGGATGAGGTGGTTGGATGGCATCACTGACTCAATGGACATGAGTTTGAGCAAACTCTAGGAGTTGGTGGTGGACAGGAAAGCCTGGTGTGCTGCAGTCCATGGGGTTGCAAAGAGTTGGACACAACTGAACAACAACCCCAGCCGACAGCAGCACCTGCTCCTCAGTTGAGGGGAGCCTGAGCAGTGCTGGCTGTTTAATCAAGAGCCGAGGCCAGAGCAGGGAGGGGCCTTGCCCCCTGTTTTTCCAAGAGACTCAGACACAGAAAGGAGGCCCACGGATCGCTGAGTGAGCGAGAGGCTTGGGCCTTGGGCCAGCCCCCGAGCCTCTGTGGGCCCCCGCTGCCTCTCTCTCCAGGCTCAGACCTGGAGGGTGACTGTGGGGATCGCTGTGCTGTTTCAGGCCGTGCCCAGCTGGCCGCTGTACGGAGTCATGAGGATGGACAGTGGAGAAGGAGGGGAGGGCCAGACTGACCCACCCGGGCAGTGGCTGAGAATCAAGGTGGGGACCTCCAGGCTGAGGAGAGGACCCAGGGCAGGTGGCTTGGGCACCACAGAAGTACAGGTCTTCCCTGGTGGCTCAGCTAGTAAAGATTCCTCCTGCAATACGGGAGACCTGGGTTTGATCCTTGGGTTGGGAAGATACCCTAGAGAAGGGAACGGCTACCCATTCCAGTATTCTGCCCTGGAGAATTCCATGGACTGTATAGTCCATGGAGTCACAAAGAATCGGACGCCACTGAGTGAGGACTTAAAGTGGGAGTGACTCCATCTGCATTGCTTTCTGAGGACCCCCAGAGACTGCGGGTGGGTGGGTTGTGACGTGTGACGTGTTTCTGGGCTCCAGGAAGTGCCCAGAGGACCAAGGAAGGAAGGAGCGGGGCTGAGATATTGCCCTGCGGACCCCCTGGCCCGGATCCCACCGGGCCGTCTGTGCCTTCCTGGCACGGCTCCCTCCCTCCATATGGCAGCCGCTGAAGGCTGGTGGCCGTGCCTGGGAGACCTGAGACCGCTTCCTCCGCCTTGGGAGGGGGGAGAAGGCAGAGCTGAGTGGGGGTAATTATAGACCGCCCTGCTCCAGGCCGGCCCAAACCGGTTCTGTCTATTCCCGGCGTGGCTCAGAGGAGCTGTGGGATGGGAAGCGAGGCGCACAGGCAGCTTGGGGGGATCGGAGGGGGAGAGAAGGCCAGCTGTCACAGGCACCGCCCCCCCCCGGGCTCGTCAGTGACGCAGGGCTGGCCAGCTTCTCTGGTGGTTGGGCAGGGGTCTGAGGGAGGCCTGCTTTCCTTCCCTCAGGGAATTGGTGGGTTTTGTCAGGGAGGCCGCCCTTGGATAAGTGACATGAAGTGGCCTGACCTAACTCCTGACAGCGTAACTCCTTCAGAAGAGGAGTCCTGTAGTGAGCTATGCAGATTTGTCATGTGGGGAGACAGCTTGGAAAAGCAGAGGAGCTGGGGTCTTCTGCCCCTCCTTTCCTTTCCAAGACCCTCCCTGTTATAGGGCCTGGACCGTTCTCCTGGCTGCCAGCCAGGGGTCCCCTGCCTGCCTCTTCAGCCTCGCAGCCCGCCACTCCCTGCAGCGTAGGCCTCCCGGCCCCCTTCTCTTCCTTAACCTGGCCGGGGATGTTTGTGTCTCGGGGCCTTTGCACATGCCGTGACTGCTACCGCTGTGCACTTCCCTCTTTGCATGGTGCTCCTGAGTCATCTGTGAGGACTAAGCTGAAAATCTCAACAGTTACAGAGCCTTTCTCTGACCTGCCCATTCAAAGAAGTCCCTCGCCTCCTGGTCCCTCTGGAAGGGTCTTGCTGATGTCCTGTTTACCAGGGTCAGGTCCTTCCCCTTTGTGTGCTGCTGTCCCCTGCAGTGCCTGGCACATCCTCAATGCAGAGATGTTTGTCCCCCTGGTGAATAAATGGCTGTGTGAACGGCTTCTCCTCTGGGGTCTGTCAGGGACCCAGGGCAAAACGACTTTCCCCTTCAATGTCTCCACTTCCAAGAGGCTGGCTCTCCAGAGAGTCTTCTGTCATCACCTGGCCAGGGATCTGGCCAGGACCCAAGCATTGAGGAGGCCGGCCCAGAGGCTTGAGCAGATGTTAATCCCTGTGGCTTTTCTACCCCAAGGTTAGAATGACTGACCCAGCACAGGGTCAGCTCAGCTTAGCCTGGGATCATGGAATTTCAGCCCAGCAGCCGACAGGCTCTGTGTCTGAGTCTGTTCCATCCCACTGAGCCGCGGGGAGCCGGCCGGGGCTGACTCTGCTTGTGGCTGATCACCCGCCTTTGGGCCTTGCTGGGGTGGGATGGGCCATTCCTACTATCCGAAAGCCTGAGGTTTCTCCGAGGACAGTGGGGCCTGGATGGGACTTTTCTGCACCCACTGAGAAGGGAAGGATGTGCTTGGGGATCTGTGGGAGGGGGCAGACCTGAGAGCGCGGTCAGTGAATGCACCTGGTTCTTCCAAGAGAACCTTCCAGGGACGGTCCCCCTGGGGACCCTTCTGAAATCTCTTCTGCCCAAAGCTGGTCAATGTTCATAACCTCTCCAAGTCCAGAAGTGGGTTCTGAGGAAGTTGCTCCAGATGGGCCCCAGGCCCACAGTGCGTTATGCAGCTGAGGGGAGAAGACAGTGGGACCCAGCAGGGTGAGTGTTGGGGAGCGCGTCCTGGGGACCACATAGGGTGGAGGCAGTGTCTGCCCAGCCCCAGAGGGCAGAGGGGAGAGGTTTCAGCTAAAGAAGACCCTTAAAAAAAAAAAAGACCCTTACCTGGTGGACTTGGATTCAGGAGGTCAGGATACCGGTCCCGGCCAGCCCGCCCTGGAGCTATCACCTTCCAACATCACCTGATGGGACAGGTCACCGGTGGCTGCTTCCCAAGAGGTCGGTCTGGATCAGCTTCTTTCCTCCCTGACTCACCTGATCAGCTGAGTCATCTGGGGCCATCCTTGCAAATCCTGAGTCCAAGCCCCAGCCCAGGCCTACTGAGCGGAGTCTCCAGGGAGGGTGGCTCTGGCTTGATGATTGCAGCAGACATCTGACATGAGCCCAAAGTATGCAGGCTGGCCCCAGCGCAATAGCAGTGCGGCAGGCAGGGATGCTCCCTGCACAGCACCCAGGATCACCCCAGACACCCTCACCCTCTGCGGCTGGGGTTGGCAAGGTTCCAGGGCCGATTGACAACAGAGATGAGGGGTGGGAGAGTGAAGACAATTTTGTGTCATCTCATTGGAAAATACCCGCCTCTTCTCTTCTCTTCAAAACGCAACACTGCCTGATGTCAGGGAGGAGAGAGTGTAAAATCCATTTAGTGGGACTCCTGAGCTTGTGCGTTTCATTCTCCTGAGTTATATGGGCGGTGGGCGTTTGAACACTGACACTCAGATCTTATGGGCTCATCCTGGCTGGATTATTGAAGCTGAAACAACAGAAGGACAAGGCGGGGCCTTGCGGATGAGGTACTAACGAAGGGCCCCATAATTCAGGAAAGAGGTTCATCTGTACTGCTTGGAGGTCGGAAAGCTGGGTAAAGCTGCCCATATGGGGAGCTTTATTTTTGACAAAATGGACCTCCCCTGAACCTTTCAGGTTCCTATTGTTTCACAGTAAGTGTTTTGAAGGTTATTATTTTCCCATTTTATTTATTTATTTATGGCCTCACCACATAGCGTGCAGGATCTTAGTTCCCCAACCAGAAACTGAATCCCAGCCACGGCAGTGAAAGCCCTGAGTCCTAACCACTGGACTGCCAGGGAATCCCCGTGATTTTGCCACTTTAAACAGTCCTGTTTTGAGCATCCTTGCACCTTAGTTTTGTAGGATAAATTGCTAGGAGTGTAATTCACTCCTGGACCACAGGGCCCAATGTAAACCTTAATACTTAAATACATGCACTTTTTTTTCTCGAATAAGTAAAATATGTAGATGTTTTTAAAATTCAGACAGTACTAAAAAGGAATATAAGTTTGTCCCCCACACCTGGCACCCCAGTTTTACAGACCCCACCTTAGAGTAAAATACGGTAACTATTTTCTGTGTGTATTTTTTCAGTAATATGCTGTTTACATGTATGTTTCTGGTCTCACTTTTTTGTTCTAACACAAGTGGGAATTTTCTATGTGCTTACTTACAAACAGTATTTCTTTCTGTATGTGTATTATTGCATGCCTGCCTAGCAATGAATGGGCGGCGACATGCTTTTAGGGTTGAGGGGCCTTCGGGAACAGCTGCAGGGTGCAAGGCACAGGGTTAAGGCTGAGGGAGGGACTCAGCATCCACGGCTGGACTCCCTTCCCAGAATGCTTCGCAGTGTCATGGGGAAAGGGATTTGCGGAAAGCATGGGAGCCCCCGAGCGTCTGAGCAGAAAGTGGAGGAGGCTGTCAGAGGTGGGGCTTCTGGGGGTGGTCAGGAGGGGTCCCTGCCATGAGGGTGCAGCCTGGACCAGCCCATCGAGGGCCTGGATAAACATGGGAGGGCGTGGGGGCTGCTGGCTCTGTCTCCCTTGAGCCCACGCAGAGGCCCGAGCTGCAGCTGGACTCGCAAGGCTGGCTTCACGGGAAAGTGGGGGCCGCCATCCAGACACATAAGGGCACATCTCCACTGTTGCTGGGCCGGAAGGCGTGCTTTCTCTTGGTTCCAGATCACATCTTCTTACCTTTTTTCCCTTTTCTTTTTCCCAGAGGCTCATCCAAAATAGAGGAAGCATGCGAAATCTATGCCAGAGCAGCGAACATGTTCAAAATGGCCAAAAACTGGAGTGGTACGTGATCCCTGCTAGAGCCCCTCCGTGGCTCTGTCTCCTCTTTCCCCTCAGCTCCCCGTCCTGAAGGCCTGACTGAGCCGTCAGCCTTGCAGGCCCCGTTCTCTGACGCCATCGCTGGCTCTACAGACCTGCTGGCCTGCTGTCTGGTTGTTTTGAGCCCACTGGGTTATTTTACAACTTGGGTCCCAGGGCCTGGGAGAGCGGACTTAGATGATAAGGATCAATAATAGATTATTAAATTCAGATAGACCCATGTGGATTGGTGAACTCTTTAAGGGGCTTCTCCTTAAATTCAGAATGTCAGGTTTCCAAGGATTGACTGTGTAGTACAGGGATGTATACTCACTGTCTCATAATAGCCTATAGTGGAAAAGAATCAGAAAAGGTATACATATGAAGCTGAACCACTTTGCTGCACACCTGAAACCAACAGAGTGTTACAAATCACACACAAATCTACTTAAAGAATTTCAGGTTTCCACGTAAACAGTTCCCTCATTCTTCCATCAGAGTCTGAATCCTGGGCTGAGGGACATTCAAGTGGGTCCAGCAGTAACATTAACCATGGCTGCATTTACTGAGCACTCCTTTAAGCACCAAGCAGGCATTGTTTAATTAAACCATCACAGCAGCACCATGAGGGTCAGTACCATTAATATCCCCATTGCACAGACTTGAAAACAGGCTTGGCCCAGCCCTTTGCCCAGCACGCCACGATGAGTGAGTGGCTGAAGCAGAATTCAGAAGCCAGAACTCCAGCTCTGGAGCCTGAACAGTTCCCTGTGGCTTCCTGACCTTTGGAGTCCCGAATGGCATTTGTGTCCCAGCTCAGACTGGCCACGTGACCCTGGGGAAGTTACCTGGCCTCTCCTCAGAGGACAGCAGGGAAGGGAACAGTCCTGACCCTGCGGGGCTGTGGTGTGGGCTCAGCCGTCCCCACATAGGGCGATCGGCCCAGCAGGGCAGCAGCTCCACTCCTCACTCACGTCAGCAGCACCCCTCCCTCTGGAGGGGGAGGGAAAGCCCTTTGAGGACTCCGGTCAGCAGATTGGCAAACTGCAGGAGCGCTGACAAGGTCCCCGGCCTCGGCCATCTGTGCGCACTCTCTCCAGCTGGAGCAGGACACACGCGCACACGGACAGCGTCATTAGGGCCTCTACCCGGAAGAGGGCATCCCAGGTCACGTGGCTCTAGAGCCTCTCAGGCCTGTGTTGGTGGGCGGAGTAGCCCTTCTGATTCAGCCAGGAAGATTATGGTCAGACCCTGGCAAGGCTGCGGCTTGAGCCGTGTTCCCCGAGGAGAGGCGGGCAGGCGGGGAGTGGCTCCTTGAGGTCTGAGGGGCCAGAGATCTGTTTGGGAACTACCTGAGGGCCTGGAGGGGAGGTTCAGAAAGCCAGTACTTGAGCCCTTCCGGGGCTAATTTCGTAACAAGGCTTCAAACATCGGCATGATTATAACTAGTATACCGTACAGCACAGGGAACTCTACACAATACTCTGTAATGGTCTATATGGGGAAAGAATCTAAAAAAAGTGTGTGTGTGTGCGCTGAAGCACCAATACTTTGGCCACATGATGTGAAGAGCCAACTCATTGGAAAAGACCCTGATGCTGGGAAAGATTGTGGGCAGGAGGAGAAGGGGGCAGTAGAGAATGATATGGTTAGATAGCATCACCAGTTCAATGGATGTGAATTTGAGCAGACTCTGGGAGATAGTGACGGACAGGGAAGCCTTGCGTGCTGAAGTCCACAGGGTTGCAGAGTCGGACACAACTGAGCACCTGAAAAACAATAATATGTATATTTAATATGTATCATTGATCCACTTTGCTGTACATCTGAAAGTAACATAACATCACAACATCATAAGTCAACTATACTCCAATTTTATTTTATTGTTTTTTTTTTATATATATGCCAATTTTTTAAAAAAGCAGCAAGATTGGATCAAGAAAATCAAGCAAAGACAATGTTGAAACCCAGGGAGGAACTTCTGACTTCTGACTGCAAAGGAAATGAAACCTGGGGCAGGGCCATAGAGGCGGGTGTGGAGGCAGTGGGCAAAATGGACTCTCCTCCTCTGAGAGTATTTTTGGTTTCCTGAAAATCAGAAGAGTTTCTCCTGAGCTTTCACAGCATACACTGCGCCTGGAGCCAGATTCTGTGTGTATTTTTATGCTCACCCCAAAAACAAAATACTGTTAAAAGATTTCTTTTTCAATCACGTGGATGTTGCTTTACTTCTAAAATTTGTCACCTCTCTCCCTCCCCCAAATAGTCAAACAAAAATCTTAAGCCATTTTTTTCCCCCCAATGATACTACCTTTCTGGAAATTCTGCACTCAAGTTTGGAACCCTTAAAAATAGGAAAGAAATCAGACACAGTGAAAACCTGGGTGGCTGAGTTTAGTTTCCTGCTCTAAAGGTATAGGACAGGGCCGGGCCTGCTTGTCTTCCTGCAGCTCAGGAATTCCGTGATTCGGGGTCAGCTGGAGGAAGAGGAGGGGAAGGGGCTTCAGGACGGAGCCGGACATGGCCACTGGGGCTCCCAGTTAGCACAACTCCCACTCCTAGAAGAGGAGGGCTCCCTCTGTCTCCCACAAGTCACATTAGGAGATGGAGACACAAGTCACATTAGGAGATGGAGACGCGGGAACAGACTTGTGGAAGGTGACGGGGTGGCTAAGTACAGGACAGCCCGGGCTTTGGTGTGGTTGCCACGGCTGCCCTCCACCCGTGGGCACTGTCCCCACGCACTCAAGTTCATAGGGGCTTCCCAGGTGGCTCAGGGGTTAAGAACCCACCTGCCAGTGCAGGAGATGCAGGACACGTGAGTCTTCCTGACTCTGGGTCAGGAAGATCCTCCTGGAGAAGGAAGTGGCAACCCACTCCAGTATTCTTGCCTGGACAGTCCCATGGACAGGGTAACCTAGCGGGCGACTGTCCATGGGTAGCAGAGTCAGACACTACTGAGGGACTGAGAACTCACGTACACACTCAAGTTCATGGCGTCCACATCCCCTTTCTCTTTCTGGACGTGAACGTCCTGGGAGACTGGACCCTGTGAGTTCTCCCAGGAGAGACTGGAATGTGGACAGGGTTAGACCGGAAGAGCTGGGAGCTGTCGGGTGTCGGGGGAGGTGAAGTCAGACTTGGAAAGGGGGAGGTGGTGGGCGGTGTGGTGCAGCTGGGTCTTGATTGCCCATCTTTTCCCGAACACCCTCACCAGGCCCCATCCCACAATGCCATCTGGAATGCTGGTTCCAGGCTCCCCAGGGCTGGGGAACAGCGTCGGGATGGGGTGGGGGCGGGGGCTCCACTGGGATCAGGTGGCCTGAGGTCCAGGCCTGCACCTCAGCTCCCCCAGGCCAGTCTCCTCCTCTCTCAGGGACTCAGGAGAGCTCAGCCCCCTCCCCAGGAGTCATCTGAGTGGCTTCCAGAACCTGGAGCCCCCCTCTAAGGCAGAGCTTACCCTCTTCTGTTCCAGCTGCCGGAAGCGCTTTCTGCCAGGCGGCCCAGCTGCACCTGCAGCTGCAGAGCAAGCACGATGCGGCCACCTGCTTCGTGGACGCCGGCAACGCGTTCAAGAAAGCCGACCCCCAAGGTGAGGGCCTCTGCAAACCCCGAGCACCAGCTGAGCCCCCCAGGGAAGGCCTCAGGTTTTCGGGCACGCCACACCAGGCCGTGCTCGCACTTTAACTCGAGAATTGGCTCCCTTCCGCCTGGCGTCCGGCTGCCTCTCTCCGGCTCCCAGCCTCCGCCTCCCCCTCCTGCTCTGTGCCTGCAGCTGATGGCGCCCCTCCCGGAGCCTGCGAGCATGTGGGAGTGGGAGTCACATTTCAGACCCACCGCATGCCCAGGAGAGCGGAAAATCTGTTCTGTTGTCAGAATTAACACTCGGAGGGGGTGGGAGGGGGTTCTGAGACCAGCCAGGTAGGAGTCTCTGCCGAAAAAGGAGCGGAAATTATCCTGACCCTGGCTTCCCTTAGCCCCAGGGTTGGGGGATCAGGGAGAGCCGAGCAGAGATGCGGTTGCCAGAGAGTAAGTTCCTTCAGATGAGAGCGTGTTGGGGATCGAAGCCCAGTTTGGGGCTGACTCACCGTGAGGAAACCGTGTTTGTCCCCCGCTGGGCTCATCTAAAGTAGATACATGGCCCAATGGGTACCAGACTGTTGGATTGGGGGGCGCTGGAATTTTAGTGTTTTTTGGGTTTTTTTAAATCTTGGTGCCAGACATGGGTTGCCAACTTTTAATTTTAACAAGCAAAAGGCTTTTTTTTTTTTTAACGACCATCTATTGTCACTGTCAACTCAAGAGAATGGGAAATACGCGAATATTAATTTAGGAAAAAAAGGGAGATGCATCATCTCGGAATAAAGGCTTGTCCTTCCCAAGAGAGGGCAGTTTGCACCAGTGCCTGGGGTCTCTCCAAGGATCTGTGAGCCCCAGTTCACATGCCAGCTCAGGGGCAGTGGTGGTGAATTCATCACCACCACCACGACGTTTTGGTCCCCAGTCGAGGGTTGATGTCTTTGCGGGCCAACTGTTCTCTGTCCGCAGTCTTGCTGGGCCGCTCCTCTGCAGCCGGGTGTCTCTAAGACGTTGGCCTTGGTGGTCACATGGTGCGCTCAGCCCGGCTCAAACCAAGGGGAGGCTTCATGACCATGTGTGTCCCGGTGACTCTGCCCAAAGCTGAGCGCACCTGGCTGAGCTGCAGCAGGCTACGTGGTGATGTGACGAGGAGCCAGGGTTCGGGTCACACAATGATGACTGCAGTGATGACCGTGCATTTGTTTTCAGCTTGAATCACCCTGGGAAGTCTGCGCACCCCCCTCAGAGGGTCCCGCCCCTGCCCCCAGCCTGCCTTCTCTCTGGGGAACTGGTCGACCTGGAAATGCTGCCCGGGCACCTGCCGCCCCCGCCCCCTAGTGACTGGAAGGACTGGTTCCTGGGGTGGAAGCTGAGGCTGGGCTTCTCAGCAAGTGCATGAGGCAGATTTGCCTTTTAAACAAGCCCCAGCATTTCTGGCGGACAGGCCCTACCGGGTACTATCATGTGGCGGCCTTCCCCAGCTTTTGATCTGAGGCTTTTCAGCTGGAAGCCGGTCTCTGTGGTGTGTGGGGGGCGCTAGGGCCCAGGTTTGGGTGTGACCCGTGCCTGGCCCCAGAAGCACGGAGGATGGCTGAGGTGTCAGGTGGGCAGGCGGCAGTGGTTGGGTGTTATGTGCCCGTCGTGGGGCACAGAGGGCAACCTGGTTTGTCTCAGCATCAGCCAGCCTGCTTCTCTGCCCTGGATGCGGAGGCCGAGGCGGGGCAGGTTTGGCACTGGGGGCGGCTCTCGGGGGACGGAAGGCCCTGTGGTGCAGGGGAGAGCCTTATGGGCAGGGCCAGGGTCGGAGGTTCTTGTCGCTGAGCAGGGGGCAGTGTTGAAGGGGCTCCCAGCACCCCTGCCTCATGACTGACCACCCCCCTACTCAAGGAGGGTGGGGCTCACTGGTCTCTGAGGCCCATGGGAGCCTGTTGCCCTGTGACCTGGGGCCATCAACAACGCCTTTTGGTCTCCACTTCCTGGGCAGGGAAAGCAGAGGTCACACGTGAGCGAAAGCACAGACGGGCCCAGCCCGACACCAGCATGGGATAAATGTCTAGAAGGGGTGGCCCCGGCCCTTGTCAGGTGGGGGCCTGGCCTAGCCACTTGCCTTGTGAATCAGAGCCAGAGAGCCTGCTTGGATCCCTGCCGGGTTTCCGCACGCAGGCGGCCGGCTCCCTGGGGCCTTGCTGGCCTCCCCTGCCTCAGACACCTCCACCTGTGTCCGAGCTTCCTGCGGAAGTCCTGGAAGCCCCCCTCCTGCCCCCAGACAGGCAGCTGAGCCTGCACCTCAGGGCGACCAGGGCGGAAAGCGGGATTTGGTGCCCGCCTTCACTCTCCCTCTAGAGTCCGCCCTGAGTGTGGGCCGGGGGTGGCCTGCCACCCCGTGGTGGCTGGGAGTGGGGAGGTGCTGCCATAGCTGTCATTGGTTCCCCAGAGTTGCCCTGCTGGTTCCAGCGGCCACTGAGCAGACTCATGCCAGGGAGGCCCCTTACCCTGCCCGCCTGGTGGCCAGGCACAGGGCTATGTGCGTGTGCACCCCCACTCACCCTCTCCCGTCTGCTCCCCTAACCTCACTGCCATTCTCTGGCGTCTGCTGTGTAGCAGATACATGGCATCTTCCTTTTACCCATTCTGCTGCTTCATGGGGTTCTGCTATTTGCCCCTGTTTTACTAAGAAGTCCAGTCTCCCTAAGGCCAGTGCCTTCCCGTCTGGGCCTGAGCACCGCCCTCACCCCACCTACCTCCCAGGGCTCCAGGTTTTCGCAGGCGGATCGGGGGGTCAGGTTGCTGGGGTTTGCGGTGCTTGTCCGCGGCTGTGCGGGGCTGTCCACGGCTGGGGTCCCGGAGACTGGAGATAAGCCGGTTGTAGGCGCGTGTCAGCAGCTTGTCCACTAGCGTGCCAGCTGGGGTGTCAGCTGGCAGCCTGCGCTTGCAGGGACAGCTGTCCTGGAGCGAGGGGCCTCAACCCTGTGTGAATCCACACTGCTGGCTGCGCGTACACCCTCCTCCCCCGCTGCATGGGGCCCTTTGGCCAACAGCACTCAGGCCAGCGCCACTGGGCCCCGGGCGGCTGCTCTGGGTGGGGGCGGGGTACCTCTCTTGCCCGGGAGCTTCCAGCCTCTCTGCCTCCAGGGCTCTGAACTCACCAGGGGCAGCCTTTGCCCCCTTGGCCTGCAGAGACCAAGCTGTGTGCCCCGGCATTCCAGGAGAGTTGCTTACAGGGAGGCCCCTACTGGCTGCATTCAACCCCCAGGGTGGAGGACAGGGCAGAATGGGGTGTGCAGAGCCCGAGCGCTGCAGCCCTGCCTCCTGGCTTTTTAGCATCCTTACAACTGCGTTGTTAGCTCATCAGTTGCTTTGGGAAATGCTCTGTCACAGAGCGTGTGAGCGTGTGTGTGTGTGTGAGAGACAGTCACATTGCTTTCTCCGGCTGTATTTGTCCATGGCGTTGTCTCTCTTCCCTCTTCCTCTCCTGCCGCTTTTTCCTCTTCCCTGCTGCCCCAGGCTTCCACCTGTCAGCCTCACGACCTTCACCCCGTGGTGTACATTCTCTGGTCTTTTGGGGTTCCCCTGAGGCCTTGCACCCAACCTCCCAAGCCTCTGTCCCCCATAATAGCTCTCAGACACCCCCTTTTGGCCTGTGAGTTGGAGGGGTGGGGCTTGTGGACTCCCTGAAGGACCAGCCACAGGTCTGAGGCTAAGAGCCTCTATTTATGCATCTCCCTGGGCGATGAGACCTTGAGCCCCCCCTTGAAAGCAGGCACCGGGCCTGTGCCTTCTGGTGGCATCTCAGCCTGGTGGGCCCTGCTGACGCTGAAGCCCTAGAGGCAGGCCAGGAGCCTTCCCGATGCCCCAGACTGTGGGTGAACGCTCAGCCATGCCCCAGCTCAGAGCCCACCTGCTGTGGCCTGTCCAGGCTCTCTGTCTTCCTCCTCCCACCTCCCCCAACGCCCTGTCCTCCTGAGATGCATTAAAATGATGTTTAAAAAAACATCCACCCGAGAGCTCATCGCTATCTGCTAGAAAATGCCTCCCACTCATGCTTCTCTCTCCTCCAAATAACTTGTCAAAAAAAAAAAAAAACCCTTTCTCAAAGTTCCAAATTTAAAACATCGCGCGAGAGAGTACAACAGAGGTACCCCAGTTCTTCCTCCCGAGTGCCACAAAAACCCTTTCTCAAAGTTCCAAATTTAAAACATCGCGCGAGAGAGTACAACAGAGGTACCCCAGTTCTTCCTCCCGAGCGCCACCCCGGTGTGTGTTTTGTCGGTGACACCTGTGGTCTGAGGAGCTGGCGGGCGGCGGTGCCGGGCTGATGGGCGCACGGGGATATGGCGGGGACCTCGAGGTCACGGCACCCTGCCACCTCCTGCCACGGTGGAGGCCAGCCAAGGGCAGGGCGCATGGCTGGTTCAGGTTCCCACCGTGGAAGGGTGGCGGAGCCCAGGCAGGACCTGGGTGTCCCTCCAGTGTCAGGCTTGGCCGCGTCCGCCAGCAGCTCGCCCCCTAGTGCAGGGCCTCGGCAGGTCTGGCTTCAAACCCCCAGGGAGTCTGACACAGTGCCGGCTGCGCCCTGTCCCAGGGTCACTGGGAAGGTGGTGACATCGTGGTGACCCCGGTGGGGACGGCAGCCGCATGAGCAGGGCTCCCCTGAAAGCACGTGCCCAGCAGGCCACAGTCAGCAGCATTAATGATTCAGACCAAGTTTCCCGGGGCTCAGGGGTCCCCTTCTCCGCTCTGCGCCCAGAATCGTCAGCCTGCCCCCCCACCACAGTGCCCGCTGAGCCCTCCGCGGCAGCCCCTCGCCTGCCTCCTCTCCTTGGCCTCTGCTGAAACGACTTCACTTTCTCATTTCTCCTCCTCGCCTCCCTTGTTCTCTCTTCAGAGGCCATTAACTGCTTGATGAGAGCAATTGAGATCTACACAGACATGGTAAGCGTCACTGCGTGTCCTGTCTCCCTCCCTCCCCCTACCCGCTTCAAGCCCTGCCATATTGCCTCCCCTCCCATCCCCTCCCCTGTCCCCGAGAGCAGGTGAGAGACCAGGAGGGGAGGCAGAGGGGGACAAGGGACTGTCCCCAGAGCCGCATTGGGCTGGCTGGGTCCTCACACAGCTCCGTGCCAGCCTGGCTCCTGGTGGCAGCTCCCAGCACATGAGGGGCAGACGGCCCCTCCACAGGTCCTGTCTCCAGCCCCCCATAGGCCATCATTGTCTTCACTTGTAGGCATTACCTCTGTTGGGGCCCTCACGTGTCCATGGAGTTTCCCCTTCCCCAGCCTCCCCCGGCCCAGAGTGAGCTCAGCCCCCACCCCGCCCCAAGGAGCATCCCATCAACAGATGAGGCCTGGCTGCTGTTCCGAGCCCAAGGAGCCAGCCCGAGGCCCCAAGCCAAGCCCCGTCCACGTCCGGCACCCCGCCCCCCGCAGGGACGCTCGTCCTGCCCTAGCGGGTCCGGGCGACGCTGTCTGCTGTTGCAGTGGATGCTGCAGGAGACACTGCGCTGGGCAGTTCAGGCTCCAGAGCGGCAGGAGGTGCTCAGCCCCTCTGGGAGCCGGGCCGCCTTGGGGAAGGCCCCAGGCGCCTGCAGGGGGAGCTGGAGAGTGGGTGAGGAGCAGGGCCATCTGACCACACGGGAGGGGAGGTCGGGAGGCCGGCTCTCTCTCGGATGGTGGGGACGTTTGGGTTCTCAGCCCTGGACTCTGGGCTCTTCCTCCCACCTCTCTGGACCAGTCACATGTGCCCCCGGCCCAGGCCTCTGGCCAGCCCCAGTGCACGTATTTCTGATGTCGCCCCATCTGCTGTGCCCCATGGAGGCTGGGTGCGGGGGACATGCCCATGGTCACCCAGTCAGGGCAGCACTCAGACCCAGGCCTGTCACACGAGAGCCTCCCTCGTAAGCCTCGTGCCCCCCTGCCTCTGGGACCCTCCTTGGAGGACCTCCCCTCCCACAGGTGGCCGAGAGCTGAGAATCCAGTTTCAGGGGACCGGGAGTCGAGNCTTGGCCTGGCTGAGCACCCTCCACCCATGACCCCATGTGGTGTCATTGCACTCTCCCCAGAGAGTCCTTCCCACACTCCTCACCAGGGCCTCCCAGGCAGAGTAAGGCTGACTCCCAAACGGGGAAAAAGCAGAAAGAACCGTGGGGCCCAGGATGGCCAGTGGCAGCTGAGGAGCCTGCAGAGGGGGTGGGAGGGCCCGGGAGGGGGCGTCCCCTGGGTGCACAGGCTCCATCCTGGGCGGGGTGGGGCCCCCTGGTGGGCTTAGCCTGGCCGGGAGACAGGCAGGCAGCTGGCCTCGGAGGAGCGCGGGGCGGGCGCCGCCTCATGTTCCGCAGCCTGCCACCCCTCTGCCCACCGGCGTGCCAGCCTCCTGTCAGCCCGACAGCGGGCCCGCCGCCTCCGTCACCCGCTCGGGTGCCTCCGGGAGCCCACGGACAGCTGGCCTCAGCCCTGGGGCCACACGCCCACCCCCCACATGCCCTGGTCCTGGGTCTCTCAGACCTGACGCAGATTTTCCCCAGGCTGGTCTCTGGCTTCCCTGCTCTTGGGGTCCTGGGTTCACAGGGCATCGCTGGGCATGGACCTAGTTCCAAGCTGCCCCCAAGTGCCTGGCAATGACCCGACCCTCTGGCTGCCCACCGCCTCATGCCCGCAGGTGGGGACCAATGCCATGGACAGCCCGCTCCTCAAGTACAGCGCCAAAGATTACTTCTTCAAGGCTGCCCTCTGCCACTTCTGCATCGACATGCTCAACGCCAAGGTGAGCCCAGGCCCCGGGGTCCCCAGAGTTATCCCATATATACACGGGGAGAAAGGCCAAGGTGAGCCCAGGCCCCGGGGCCCCCCAGGGTTACCCCACACAGACTGACCGCCCCTGGAGCACCGTGTCTGTCACTGCACCAAGTTACCTGTCAACCTCAGGGAAGGGGCAGGTCCCTCGCTCGTCTCTGGCCCTGGCAGCTCCTTTGGGCAGGAAATGCTTGTTCTCCCTGCGCTTCTATCCATGATGTCACTCACTCCGCCTCTGTACCCTTTGCGTTTCCAACTCCTGGCTTGCTCGGTGTCAGGGATTTTCTTCTGTGGGAGCATTTTTGGAGTCCTTACCACAACCCATGGGGTTGGCACCACGGTCGCCCCACTTCACAGAGGAAGACACTGAGGCTGAGACACATGGGTCTCTCGTTCAAGGCCATATGGCTAGTAAATTGCCCCAGGAGTCCAGACCTTTCTGACTGCTGATGTTTGAACCAGAGCCTGCCTGCCCCACCCGTCCTCAGGGCCTCTCAGCACGAGCAAGGTCAGGGCTCGGAGAGGAGCTGGGTTCTGCTGGAATCCGTGGTTTCCCGGGGTCTCCAGCTGCCTGCCCTCACCCACACAGTGTGCCTGAGCCCCACTCTCCCTCCCTCTGTGGGCACCTGCTAGGGCAGGTGAGAGCTTGGGCTTTGGGGTCAGACTGGTTCAGATGCCCAACACGCGTCCTGAGTCCTGCATTGCCGTCTCTGGGTCTGTTTCCCACTTGCAAAAAGGAGTCACCATCCTTTGACCCTCCTTGGGTCCTCACGAGGGTTAAATAATGAGGCGTCAGGCCTTGCGCAGGGGACGTGCACCTACCCGAGCGCCGGCCTGAGGAAGCCGCCTCCCTCTCCGGGCCCCTGTCCCCTGCCCTCCACCCTCACCACAGCTGTCTCTGCAGCCAGGCTGGCGGTGAGCTCAGCTCTGGGGAGCCTCTCCACCAGGCACAGAGCCCCGTGTCTGGAGGCTGGGGTGGGGGTGCAGACAGCTGACTTAGGGCTGGAGCGGCTCCAGGCCCCTGCAGCTGTCAGGGCGTCTTCGTCAGCTCATTCCCTCCTTCCCCCCCACCCCGTCCTTGCCGACGCTCAGCTCGCTGTTCAGAAGTACGAGGAGCTGTTCCCCGCGTTCTCCGACTCCCGGGAATGCAAGCTGATGAAAGTGAGTGTGTGCTGCGGGGGCCTCGGGCCGCTCCTCTCCCGTGTCAGGGGCTTGGGCTCCAATTAGCGGTCACTGAGATTTGTGCAGTGTTTCTCAGGGGCCTTTTATTATCCCCGCCCCAGTCTCATCTGCCATGGGTCCCCGTTTTCTGGATGAGACAAGTAAGACTTGAGCGGAGATGGAGCCGGGGCAGAGCAGGGAGGCTGTGGGTTCTCACCCACACGGGCACCCATGGATGGGTGATCCTCCGTGTCCGTGACCTTCCGAGCTGAGGGCAGGTTGGAGCACAGCCCCTTCCTCCCGGGCAGCCTGGGCACCCCTGACTCTCACCCACGCAGATACTGTGTGTGTGGAGCTCCTCTGGGTCAGGCCTTGGCCTGTGTGGCTCCTGAGCCCCACCCCCCGTTTTTTTTTGCAGAAGTTGTTAGAAGCCCACGAGGAACAGAATGTGGACAGCTACACCGAGGCGGTGAGTGGCTGGTGGGGGTGGCTGCCCTCGTCAGAAGTGGTCCTGCGAATTTCCTCCTTTCTGTCTCTGCCCCCAGCCCCTGGCTGTGGATTCGTTTCTCCCGCCACCCCAGAACCCTCACAAGTAGCCCCAAGAGGTGCAGGGAGTAGTCTCCCCATCTTAGAGCTGAGCTGGGATTCAAACCCATGTCTTGTCTGCTCCTGAAGGCCAAGGTCTCTGCACTTCTCAAGAGTCCCCCTGGGTGAGCAGTGGAGGGAGTCTCAGGTCGGGCGCTCTGGGCGACCCTGGAGGTGCAGGGAGGGAGGGGTGAGCCACATCATCCCCCTTCCCTCGCCTCCCGGAAAGCTGGAGGCAGGTGGCACTAGGGGTGCAGGAGAGGTGGCCTTGGGAAGCCCCTTTCCAGCAGCTTCTCTGATAACAGTCTCCCCACAGAGATGCTCTCCCTGTCCTTACCCTGTGGCGAGCATTCTGGAATTGTTACATCCAGCCCAGGTGCCCCGGACTGGATCTGGATCTGTCCAGTGTGACTCTCCCCAGGGGCCCTCACGAATCATGGTCGCCTGAATGATGTCAGGGACCAAGCTTGGCCGGTCCATCCTGCCCCAGACGGCTGGCCAGGGGCAGGTGGCGGGAAGCTCAGCGATGGAGCACAGGAGATGGGAGAGAAGGGGGCCCGACAGGCGGGGGTTCTCTCTGCCCACCCCCCTTCCACCTGCCCGCAGTGCTCAGAACAGGCCTTTGTCACATTTCCAGGCCTCAAATTCCCATCCATTAAACAAGAAAGCTGGACTTTTTTTTTTTCCCAGCTGTAAAATCTTTTTTCACCCATGGGAGTCCTCATGCCTCAGCCAGTAAAGACACGGAAGGAGACGCTCTGGCCGGGGTAGGGCTACACATCCCCTCGCCCCTGCTCAGGGGCGGGGGGCTGACAGGACCGTCTAGAAGATCCTGAACAGAGCCCGTGGGGCTGGGGCCGGGGACACGGTGGGAGGCGAGGCCGGGCGCAGGGCGGCCGCTCACCCCGAGCCCATCGCCTGGCGCGCAGGTGAAGGAGTACGACTCCATCTCCCGGCTGGACCAGTGGCTCACCACCATGCTGCTGCGCATCAAGAAGACCATCCAGGGCGACGAGGAGGACCTGCGCTAAGCCCCGCGTGGCCCCCGGCGCCCGTCTCCCCACCCCGTCCGCTCTCCCCCGGCCAGGCCCTCCAGCGAGGATCGCTGTGTGAGCCCAGAGAGAGGGGGGCCTGAGACCCTGGCTGCAAGACCTTCCCTCCCACCGAGGACTCTGCAGCCACCCCGCGGGCTCAGCACTGCCTCGGGGGCCCCTGAGGCCAGGCCACTGGCCAGACGGTCACCCACTGTTCTCGCTGCATCCCTCGCCTCCTGCCCCTTTATTTAAGCCCCCAGAGCTGCCCTTCACCACGCCAACACGCAGGCTCTCTGGCGCAGGCCTGTTCGCTGTGGATGCTGCCGGGGGTCGGAGTCAGCATCTGGGCGCCCCTCTCCCAGCCAGCTGAGTCGCGGAGACAGTGTCTCGTCTCCACTTTCCTCCCTGGCTGAGCTCTGGGCCCACGTAGTCACCGTGATTCACGCTCACCGCTCGGGAGGGTGTGGCTCCTTTCTCCCACCCTGCACAGGGAGCCCCCAGCCTCCTGCAGCCCCAACCTCTCAGGATGGACCCAGCCCTGGAGCTGCGAGGGTCGTCCCCACACCCACCCCTCCGTCTCCTCCCCGCGCTTCCAGGTGTTGTTGGGGGGAAGCTGCAGCTGCCTGAGGAAGGAAATAAAAGATAACACTTGTGCATAAGTCTCCTCCTCACCTTTCTCCCCCTTGCCCTCAGGCCTCTGTCCCATCTTCCTGGCCCTCCTGACCACCCCGTCACCCCACTTGGGCTCTGGGCACCCTTTGTGGGCAACAAGAGGGCAAGCTTCCCTGGCAGGATGCTTTGGGTTAGAGCTTCCCAGAGGGAAGGCCCAGCGTGGTTGGTCTGGGGAGGGGCCACGGGCTTGGGGTCTTGAGCCCTAGGCCCTCTGGACCCTGGCTTCCTCAGCTGGGATGATGGATGGGAGTGCTCCCCGCCCCAACCCAGAGCTGGCAGAGGACGCAGGCAACATACAGAGAGGTGGAGGGACTTCCCTGGTGGTCCGGTGGCTAGAATCCGCCTTCTAGTGCCGGGGCCACAGGTTCGAGCCCTGGCCGGGGAGCTGAGATCCCACACGCTGTGAGGCAGCTAAGCCCAGGAGCTGTAACGAAGACCACGATGCTAAGACCCGATGTAGCCAAGTAATTTTTAAGAAGGAGTGGAGGGAACTTCCCCGGGTGGCCCAGTGGTTAAGAATTCATGCTTTCTTTGCAGAGAACATAGGTTCAGTCCCTGGTTGGGGAACTAGGATCCTGTAGTCTGTGAGGCATGTGTGTGTGTGTCAGTCAGTTGTGACTCTTTGCGACCCCGTGGACTATAGCCTCCCAGGCTCCTCTGTCCACGGGATTTCCCAGGCAAGAATACTGGAGTGGGTTGCCATTTCCTTTTCCAGGGGATCTTCCCGACCCAGGGATCGAACCCAGACAGATTCTTCACCACCTGAGCCACCAGGGAAGCCAAGGCCAAAAAAAAAAAAAAGGTGGAGGAGGCACACCAAGTCTCTCAGCCTCACGCCACAGGTCCGTGCTTCTCTGGAGGGCAGGCCGAAAGCCCCAGGGGCACTGTCCCATCTGTCAGAAGCGGAGGAGGGAGCGGCTTCGGCAGGTGGAGTACAAGGACAAGTGGGTGTGGGGAAGGCGAGAGCAAACAGCAGGAACCCTTTGCCCAGGAAAGGAGGGCAGGGACAGGCCTCCTCCTCCTGATCCAGCACGTGGACCTCCGTCAGGTGGACGGTCTGCTGTACCCGTGCTTCCAGCCGGCCCTGGCCCAGGCCCATCCCCTGGGAGGGGAGGGGCAGCCGGAGGAGGGTCAGTGCCAGAAGGCGCACTCAGTGTCACTTCTAAGACAGGATGTGAACCAGAGCTGCCTGGGAAACCAGGGCAGGCTCCCCGGAGAGCTGCTCCAGCCTTGAGCCTGGAGTGAGCTCGGGAACGGTTCAGGCTAACCATGTGTCAAGAGAATGGCCTCCATGTGACGCTCTGCCCTGCTCTCCTGGCCCCTTCTGCTTCTCCCACAGCTCTAATCAATTGATAATGGCTGCCTCAAGCTCAGTTAAGACTCCTGAGACCTCAGATTGATTACCAATGTCTGCCATGGCACTTGCAGAAGGCTAAGTAATGTAGTGATTCTCAACCCTGGCTGTGCTTTAAAATCATATTAAAAGTGCTCAAGGGACTTACTTGGTGGTGCAGTGGTTAAGAGTCTGCCTTCCAAAGCAGGGAACGCAGGTTGGAACCCTGGTCTGGGAACTAGATCCCACATGCTGCAATTAAGACCCGGCCCAGCCAAATAAATTAATTTTTTAAAGCCTAAAGAACACATTCTTTAGTAGAAGTAGAATAACAAGATTCCCCTCCCCCCACTTCATCCCCAAGTATCTACTAAGCACCTACTGTGTGCCATGCCCTGGTGCAGTCCCTGGGGTTACAGCACTAACCAACATAGCTAGACCTCTGTTTGACACAAACTCCTTTCTTTTCATCACCTTCCAGATCGAATCTTGCCTTGGAGAACTCTCTTCTCATGCCTCTTAGGCAACAATGTCCCAGGTGCTTGGCAAAGGGTCTGGTACATAGTTTAGGGATCTTAACGTATTTACTAAATGCTCACTTCATGTCAGGCCTTATGGTCCAGGTATTGGGGATTTGACTGTGAACAAAGGAGATCCAGTCACTGCCTTCATGGGTCTTGCAGTCTTCATGTGCATGCGTGTGTGTATGTTCTCTTTCTGCCTGGAAGCAGGTGACAATATTATTCAAGGTGGCCAGGACAGCTGGCCAACTCATGTCTTCTGAAAATAACATATCTGTATACACAGAGTCCCCACACCCTTGATGCTCTTCTAGGGAAAAACATGTATATACATGAATCCCAGAAGACCTCATCCTTTCTCCAGCACTTATTATCACATCGGTCAAGGGGTTTATTCTCCCCCAGCCTCCGTTTAGTTTTCTATAAATTGGGATAATAAACTTCTTTCCAGAGTTGTTGCAAGAGTTTACTGAGATAAATTCATAAAGGATATCTTGGCACAGAGTAAGTGCTCAGTATATGTTGAATAAATGAAGGCAGGGTAACAAGAATAGGGTAGCTGTGAGGATTCAAGGAGATCATCAGCCAACATGACTGGCATAAAGTCAGCTTTCAGTAAAGGAGATCATCAGCCAACATGACTGGCATAAAGTCAGCTTTCAGTAAAGAAAGAAAAAGTGAAATGTTAGTCACTCAGTCCTGTCTGACTCTCTGCGACCCAATGGACTGCAGCCCGCCAGGCTCCTCTGTCCATGGAATTCTCCAGGCCAGAATACTGGAGTGGGTAGCCATTCCTTTCTCCAGGGGATCTTCTTGACCAAGAGGTCGAACCCGGGTCTCCAGCATTGTAGGCAAATTCTTTACCATCTGAGCCACCAAACCTTTTTCAGTAATAAGGTGAAGATTATTTGCCAGGACAGATAGCTAGAACTGTTTCCTTGGGGTAAGCAGAATGCATAAAGGTGATGGGAGAGAATCCCCGAGCGGTCCATTGGTTAGGACTACGCACTTTCACTGCCTAGGGTCTGGTTCAATGCCTGATGGGGGAAACTAAGATCCCATAAGCAGCACTATAAGGCAAAAAAAAAAAAAAAGATTTGAAAGTGATGTGATTAAAACAATAAACTATGGCGGTATCTTCTCTGGGTTCCAATACTGACTGCGGCTTCTAACTGATCTTAGACAAATTACTTCGTGCCTCAATTTCTTGATCCGTCAAACATAGTATCTACCTCTGCCTACTTGTGAGTTTTAAGTAAATTGATAAATAAGCACTTAGTTCCTGGCATGTAAGGGCTATACTGAGTTTTATGTTTCTTATTCTGCCTTCAGCACAGCCCAGAGCAAGGACTACCACGTCCAGCCTTTAGGTCATAATCTGCAAATCGCAGTCGCCTCGGCCCTGAAAAGGACCAAGCACGAGCGCGCAAGCGCGTTGAGTCAAAGTCTGGAGGGCAGCCCGGCTGGCGGCCATCTTTGTAAAGGGCAGAGACGGCAGCTTCTTTACGTAATCCGTCTGCGCGCCTCGCGGGCGCCCGGCGATCCACGGGTAGAGCGGGCCGCTGTGGGGGCTCTGGGAATGAGTGGTTGAGGGACATGATGGGGGAGGCGGCCGTGGCCGCAGGGCCTTGCCCGCTGCGCGAGGACAGCTTCACACGCTTCTCATCGCAGAGCAATGTGTATGGGCTGGCAGGCGGCGCGGGCGGGCGCGGGGAGCTGCTGGCCGCCACCCTTAAAGGCAAGGTGCTAGGCTTCCGCTACCAAGACCTCCGACAGAAAATCCGGCCCGTGGCCAAGGAGCTGCAGTTCAATTACATTCCCGGTGCGTGGCGCCGTCGGGCTGGGGGCTCGGAACGGAGTGTTGAGAAGGTTTCTGAGGCTCTGTCTTGGGCCAGGTCACCATGATGGGCGAATGGGATCAGGGTGATGGTGATTGAAGGGGGTTGAAGCTGGTAATCTAGAGGCACTGGGGTCAGAAGACAGGGATAATAGGGGCCTGAAGTAGTTCGGGTTCAGGATGACTCAGAAACCAGGATTATTCCTACCCTGGTGATGGTGAGCAGAACCCACTGGGACCCAACATTCATAATTTGTGGTGTTCAGGGATGACTGAGCCCTAGAGGTCAGGGGTCACCATGGTTGGAAATATTGGGGTCACAAGCCTGCCTGGAATGTGAACTTTGAACTCTCCTCTCCCAGTGGATGCAGAGATTGTCTCCATTGACACCTTCAACAAGTCACCCCCAAAGCGGGGTCTGGTTGTGGGGATCACGTTCATTAAGGTACCCGGAGCCCATCCATCTACCCATTTTCTCCTCCTTACTGAGTCTTCCCCAAATCCCTCTTGCTGCCTCTACCTTCCCCTGAGGCCAGTCTCCTCTCCCAGGATTCTGGGGACAAAGGCAGCCCCTTCCTTAACATTTACTGTGACTACGAGCCTGGCTCTGAGTACAACCTGGACTCCATTGCCCGTAAGTGTGGCCTGGAGGGAAAGAGGGATGGGGAAAGGGTGGGCGATGCAGTCCCATCCCTGGTACCTAACTGCCTCCGCTCCCCCTGCAGAGAGCTGCCTAAACCTGGAGCTCCAGTTCACTCCTTTCCAACTATGCCACGCAGAGTAAGTAAATCACAGGCTTAATACAATAGGGAGTGTATGTGTGCACGTGTGTGTGTTTGTATGTGTTGAGAGGGCAGAGGCTGTAGCATACTGAAGACCACAAACCCACCTATAGGCAATCAGACTTGTTTTGTTTTTTAGAGCATCATGCATTTAAGGTAGCCATTTACCATACTCAGCTGATGGGCTACCATTCTGCAATCCCTGAACTAGATGGTGTTAGTCATTCAGTCATGTCTGACTCTTTGCGACCCCATGGACTGTAGCCCACTGGGCTCCTCTGTCCGTGGAATTCTCCAGACAAGAATACTGGAGTAGGTAGCCATTCTCTTCTCCAGGGGACCTTCCTGATTCAGGGATCGAACCTGCGTCTCCTGCATTGCAAGCAAATTCTTTACTGTCTGAGCCACCAGGGAAGCCCCTAAACTAGACAATTTGAGAGTTAATCGAGTGCCTCATTTCCAGACGTGTAGAACTCTCAAGTTTTTATATTCTAGATTAGGGCATTCCAAGATC